TGGCCTCTCTTGGCTCGTGTCTCCTGCGTCTTCCCTTTCTCTTCTCTGTCTGTCTTCTTTCTTTCTTTCTCTCTCTCTTTTTTTCAGTCTCTCCTTTTTTCTCTCTCTTTCGTTTTCCCTGTATCTTTCCCTTTCTTTCTCTTTCACTCTTAGCTCTCCTCCTTTACTCTCTCTCTCTCTCTCTCTCTCTCTCTCTCTGACACACTGTTCCTTCTCTCTCTCTCTCTCTCTCTCTCTCTCTCTCTCTCTCTCTCTCTCTCTCTCTCTCTCTCTCTCTCTCTCTCTCTCTCTCTCTCTCTCTCTCTCTTTCTCTCTGTTCCTTCCCTTCCACCTTTCTCTCTCCGTCGTTCCCTTCCTCCCTATCCCTCCTTCCCTCATTCCCCTTCCGTATCCCCCCTTCCCCCTTCCCCCCTTTCCACCCTCGGAAGCGGCCATGCATCGTGGGATAGGTGTCAGTACTTATCCAGCAGATCAGTGCCTGAGCATTCTACGCGACGGGTGTCTTGTGTAGCGTTTGGAAGAAGGAAGAAAAGAAAAAAAATGCTTTCGACGACTTCATAGGGTTTCCTTTGTCTTTTTTTATTTCTATTTTGTATTTTTGTTTCTTCTTCTTCTTTTTTTTTTTTTTTTTTTTTTGTCCCCTCTTGCCACCCTCTTGCCCTTCCCATCTCTCCCTCTTCTCCCCCAGCCCCCCCTCACTCCTACCCCTATCCCTCCCTCACCCTGGCGTTGACCTCCCGCAACTGCCCCTGGCTCTTGCCTCGAGGGACCACACGCAGCTTCCCATCAAGTGTCCAGCAGTTACATTCGGTTGAGCTTCGACCTTATTCCACCTTCCTCTCTGCCTCTCTCTCTCTCTCTCTCTCTCTCTCTCTCTCTCTCTCTCTCTCTCTCTCTCTCTCTCTCTCTCTCTCTCTCTCTCTCTCTCTCTCTCTCTCTCCCCTTTGCCTCCTTCCCCTCCTCTCTCTCTCCCATTGCTTCCCTCTTTTCCTCCCTTGCCCTTTGCCTTCCTCCCCTTACCCTTCCTCCCCTTACCCTTCCTCCCTCCCTCTCTCCTTTCATCCCTTCCTCTCTTCCTCCCTTCTTCCCTTCCTCCTTTGCCTTCCTTCCTTCCTTCAGTCTTCAGTCCTCCCTCCTCCATTGCCTCGCTTTCTTTCTATTTTCCCATTTCCCTCCCCGCCTCCCTCTCTCATTTGCCTCTCCTTCCTCCATCCCTTCTGGCCTCCCTCCTACCCCCTTCATCCCCTTGGCCATAGAAAGGTCAGGTATGTGCGTGCGTGTTATGTGTATGTGTATGTGTGTGTATCTGTCTGCGTGCGTGTTATGTGTATGTGTGTGTATCTGTCTGCGTGCGTGTTATGTGTATGTGTGTGTATCTGTCTGCGTGCGTGTTATGTGTATGTGTGTGTATCTGTCTGCGTGCGTGTTATGTGTATGTGTGTGTGTATCTGTCTGGGTGAATGGTAAAACACTCTTCCGTGTTGATACTATGGTAGAAAAAAAAACCACGGCACCAACTAGATTTATTAAAAACGAGACAAAAGCCGTTTCGAAATCCTCCTGTTCCATTCCAAGTACGTGCGTCTGACCTGAAGATGGAATCCAGGAGGATTTCGAAACTGTTGTCTTGTTTTTAATATATCTAGTCTGTGCATTGTGGGTTTTTTTTTCTAGCATCTGTCTGTTTGTTTTGTGCTAAATGTGATATATGCGTTACAAGGTGGTTTAATGGTTTGTGTATTTATAATTTGTTCATATATGCATACTTGTTTGCGTTTGCATATTTTGCAAATATGGGTCCAGGAGTGTGTTTTGTTTGTATGTGTTGCCAATATGCGCATACAAGTGTGTTCTTGTCTGTATATTTGTTTTACAGTCGCGGTCATGCTTGGCAGGTGGAGTCCATGTAACTGTTTTACTTATTCAGCAAAATGCTCCCCCCCCCCCAACCCCCGCGTCTTTCGCCTGAGCGTCGCACTCCGCCCTCGTGCTCAGCTTCCTCTTGCAGCGCCCAGCCACAGACGCCCTTCTTCCGGGCGCCACTTTGGCTTCGGATTGCCAGTTGATTCACGCCGGGATCGGAGATTGGCCCGGGTGCATATCGCCAAACTGGACGCTCTCGGACGCCGCTGTCCTTCCCTCCTCTTTCTCTCCCTCTCCCTGCTTCTCTCTTCATCCCTCTCTCTCTCTTCTCTCTCCTTCTGTTGCTCTTCTCTTTTCTCTCCCTCTCCTTGTCTCGCTCCTCTCTTTTCTCTCCCTCTCCTTGTCTCTCTTCCTCTTTTCCTCTAATCCCATATATCATCACTGACCTCCCCTATCTCTCTTTCCTCCTCCTCCTCCTCCTCCTCCTCCTCCTCCTCCTCCTCCTCCTCCTCCTCCTCCTCCTCCCTCCTCGTCTGCCGCCCTTCCCTCCTCCCCTGGCCTCACCCTGCCGCCGTTCCCCATGCCCTTTCCCTGCAGTTGACTGCGTGTACGTGTCCTTTGGACCCACAGGGTTAAGACAGTAAGCATTAGCAAGGCACCATAAACCTCCCGGCGCTCTATGATGCCTGTGCAAAGGGTGAAGCGCGTTTGAAAATGACCAGAAGAGCGTAGTAAAAATCGCCTGTTAACATTCAGTCCTCGTGCGCTGCCATCGATCGTCGGTGGCTGAGTGTGTGCGTGCGCGCGTGATCTCGTCCGCGCGCGCGCGTGTATGTTTGTGTGTATGATTGTGTTTGTATTTGTAAGTATAGTATGTATGTACCTTTTTGTACTGCTAGGTTAGTTTGTTAGATGGCATTTGTTCTTTATGGATTAATTGTGGGTTTGTGGATGTATATGTTGACGCACTCACAATCTCGGACACACACACACACACACACACACACACACACACACACACACACACACACACACACACACACACACACACAGAGAGAGAGAGAGAGAGAGAGAGAGAGAGAGAGAGAGAGAGAGAGAGAGAGAGAGAGAGAGAGAGAGAAACGAGATCGAGTTGAAGGAGAAAGAGGGTTTGCGTGTGTGTCCGCGTGCGTGAGCGTACATGCGCGTCTCCGACATGTCTGCAAATGTAGAACGGGGGGAACAAAGACCGCACAAACAGCTTGTGTCTTATTCGCCCCTCTGAATTCGCTTCCGGTCGAGGCAAGTGGATGAGATGGAAGGACGGGCGGTGGACGGGAGGGAGGGGAGGGCAAGAAGAGAAGGGAGCTTGTTTGTAGCCATGAAGGGAAAAAGCTCCTGCCTGGAGAGCGTACGTTTAGGGATTGGAGTGTAGAGAAACGCACAGTGTGTTCCAGAAGTATCAGGCCATGCTTTGTGCGACTGCTGCTGCTGCTGTTGCCACCTGCTCGATGATCCTCCTCATCGGCAAGTGTCGCTCAGCTTTTAGCGTGCATGTAGATCGCACATGCCTGTAATGCCGTTGGACATGTGTGTTTTGGCGCCGTGGGCATGGGACTAGTGCACTCGCATTACAGCCACCTTCATAGCGCTCTCCGGATCTTTATGCTGCCATTGGCTCGGAATTTTTCATGCGCTGTTGATAATGGCTTCGCAAGGCCCCTGAAACGTTAGAGATGACGTGTGTTTATGACTTCGTGTGTATGCGTGTGTGTGTATTTGTGTTAAGTAGATGATAAGTTTAGGCAAGGTGGAGGCGGTGACAGGAGCGGCTGCACGGAGCAGGTGGCACTGGACTCCAGCCTTCACGCCCCTTGCCAGGCGCCTATTTAACTGCGCTTTTTCACGGCCTTCGAAAAGGGATTTCGCCACGGATTTTTTTAATTGGTGACGGTGGGGTGATTTTGGAGGTGTGGGATACTAGGGCGCAAGGCCAGCTGGTCAAATTTGGGCATAAAAAATGGGCGCAGGATGACGTACATGGCATCTTGAGAGGGTCCGTGGCGCACATGGCGGCAGTGGCTCCAGTGGCGCCTCCGCCGCGGCACTGACACCGTGCCTCTGCCGCCTCTGCTTGTGCCGCTTCCGTCGCCGCCCGCTCTAGCGTCCCAGCGCAGCCACAGAGACCCGAGCGAGTCCCTGGCCGGAGCCTTTCGTCGCAGGGCGAGTGGCGTGGCATCGTCGTCCCTCTCGCCGGGCTCCTCGGTCGAGCTGCGAGCGCCACGAGCAGCGTCGCATTGCGGCAGCCAGTCATCGGAGAGTTGCACGTGACGCTTCACCTGGCCGTCCGGGGCGTGGGTCATCCGGAGTGCCAGGAATCGGTGGCAGGCGCAGGCGGGGCAACAAGTCGGCGTGATCAGGTGGTGGGTGGTGACGTGTAGCGGGCCCGGGTGTGCCGGGTGCCGTGCCCCCTCCAGTACGTGAGCCTTGGCCCTCACCCACACCTGCCTTGTGGGCCCCACCCCGGCGCACCTGGGGCCCAGTCTACCCCTCGCATCTCTAGCAGCTCGAGCTCGAGCTCTTAGCACGTAGCATCATCCTTGTGGCGGAACTGTGGCGAGCGAACGCCGCCGTGTGGTTTTCAGTGACGGCGTTTGCGTTCCCGGAACTCTTGAGTATTTAGCAAGTAATTCGGAGCAGGTGTGCGAGGTGGCAGGTGCTGTGCCACGGCGGCCCGCGACCAGCCAGCCCCACGCACCTCCTTCGCTACCTGCACCGCCTCGACTCCGGCCTCCTTCCCCTCGAGGCGCTGGATAGCCCCACTCACCTGTGATGCTCTTTTCTTACTTTTTGTATGACCTTAGATTAATGCAAGAGACAATCTTTTAATATTTACCTACTCGTATGGCTGTGAACCTTCGCTAGAGATCTTCTCCTGTCCTGGACCATGTGCATCGTCGTCTGGGCCTTCGGCTAGAACGCGGATGTGATGCAAGTGCAGCTCGGCCGCCTGTCTTCTCGTAGCGAGGCTGTGCAGCGCCCAGGTGACCTCTGATACGCGCGGTTCGTGCATGTTCGTGAGGCTGTGTTGGATGAGACACCCCAGTCGAGGCATGTGAAGGCGCCCACGCCAGCCGGGCACCCCGCCCACGCCCACCATGCGCAAGTTATCCCTGCGCTGCTCACCAACCCCACATTCGGTGCCGGGCGTGCCACCGCCCGCGCCAACCCCACCGCCGTCAGCAGGCCTGTCACCCACGCCCACGCCACCGACCACGCCCGCACGGCGGCTGGTCTCCTCGCGCTCTCTGGGCTCCACCTCGTCGCCCCCGCTGACGCCTCCGGTCGTCTCACAGTACAACATCCCGCCGTGCCTGCCCTCGCACCAGCACCACGCCCAGCTGCCGCCCACCCCAGGCCCTCCCTCGCACCGCTCACTACCCGCCCTTCACGCCCACCACGTGCAGAATGATGCTCAGGCCCATCACTCATCCCACCCGACATTGCACGCCCACCACCACTCCCTGCCCATCCAGGACGCCCACCCGCACCACTCCTCGCACCCCGCCCTTCACGCGCAGTCCCCTCACTCCTCCCCGCCGGCCAACCGCCCGCCGGGTCATTTCTCTCACGCCGCGGCCCTCAGCGGGCACCAGCACCCGCGGCAGCTGCCCGGTCTGCCCCGCCATCACACCATCGGCGGCGTGGGCAGCGGCCGCATTCTGCCCCCCGCGCCGCACCATGACCCCTCCGCCGCCGCTTCCGCCGCTGGCACGGCCGCCGTCGTCGTCGTCACCACCAGCAGCGTGCCCCCCGCGCCCGCCCAGCCCATCACCACCACGATGGCCAGCCTCGCCGCGCGCCCCGCTCACGCTCTCCACTCCGCCAGCTACAAGTACAGCCTGGACGTGCCTCGTGCCAACCTGCGAGACATGCGGAGCAACACATACCCTCCGCCAGGCGCCGACGGCTCCTCGCCCTCGCAGTCGTCCTCCACCACGAGCGGGACTACGAGCGGCGGCGGCTCCGGCGGCTCGCAGAACTCGCCCTCGGACCTGTTCCCGCCCTCGTCCCCGCGCCTGTCGCCGGGAGGGCCCATGGTGGCGCTGGCCGGGCGTGTGTCTCCTCAGCTGCCGCCCACGTCCCCCTGCGGACGGGTGCCCCCGCACTCGCCGGGGCCACGATCCTCGCTCTCCTCCTCCGTGTCCTCCTCGTGTGCCACGTCGCCCGTGCCCCGCCTGTCCCCAGTGCCACGCTCACCTGTCCACGCCCCCGTCACTCTCTCGCACTCCGCCCACTCGTCCCCGAGTCCAGCTCATGCTTCGCCCAGTCACGCCCATGCTTCACCGGTGGCACGTGGCTCGCCCGTGCCACCGCCCATCATCAGCTCCCCGACGCCCACGATTCGAGGCTCACCCGCGCGGAGGAAAGGCTCCATGCCTGAGTTGCGCTCGCCCTTGTTCAGGAAGACGACTCGGCCGCCCCTGCAGCGCTCGCACGCCACCGCTGGGTAAGCTCCTCCTCCTTGGCCTCGGCTCGCTTGCTTTCTCCTCCGGCCCCTCCTCGCCTCGCCATTATCCTTCCTCGTCCTTTCAACTTCAGTCCTTACACCCCGGGAAGCTCCTGCCACTCACGCCTTTGTGTCTTTCCCCATATGCCTCCTTGCACTCCATACCTTATCTCCCTTATTTGTAAGACTTGTGTTTTGACAGCCTTATGGCGCCATGTCTTTCCGTCACTACGTAGTGTCCCATTACTTGCTAAATACATGTAATTTTTTGTAGTTTGTGGAGTGAAGAACAAATTGTTATTCCAGAGGATCTGTAGTGTAATATGTTATCTCTGATTGTTCCCGTTAGTATAGGTGTGCAATTTCCTCCAATACCAGATTCGGATTGTGTATCGTAATTCACCCCAAGCCGAGCACTACTAGCACCTTTGCGCTGGACTTACTCAGGGGCTCACCGTAATTGCCATCATTATGACGAAATGCAAGTTCAAGTAGTAGGTACGGCCACACGCCGACTCCGTGTGTTCTGTACGTTCAAGTCCCGATGAGGTATTTAGCAACTCCTCGCCGCCGCGGGTGAAGCCTTCCGTTCGCTCAACGGACCTTGTTGCCCGCCGCCTTTTTGTACTGGGAAAGATTGGAGAGGGAAGCCTGTATTTTAGTCTAGACGAAAACTGCGAATTCTGGATCAACGTTATTGAATACTATCATCTTTACGGAGCGCGAAGGGGAGACTAAACGAACACACGGCGTAGTTGGGGAATGCGCAAATAAATCCCCTCCCCCCGCGCACGTGTAATGTCGAGTGGACGATCCCTCCTTCGGCGCCGGCAGAGACGCCCGGCACCAGGAAAAGAGAGGTTGAGAATGAGGATCGCATGGCTGCGGAACATGCACTCCTTGAATGTATCTTCGGAGGCTTTCTTGATTGGGTCTCGTCTTGGCGGAGAGCCCAGTGATGCTTTTGTTGCATGCAACCATAAAAAAGGGCTTGCAAGGGGCCGGAGGCGAAGGGAATCCCAGAATTGCTGGCCGCTAGTGGTGTCTTTCCGGCAATTACTTTGGATCTTTATGGCCTTTGTTTGGCGTTATCATCACTATCGTCGAATCGTTAAATGGCAGTCGTCACAGAAGGAATCGATTGCGATGATTCCATGTCTGGTCCTTTTTCTTTCTTTTTCCCATTAACAGTTTTATAACTTGCAATTGCAGATTGTGGATGCATGAGGATAGTTGCAGCTTAGTAAGGTTTCGCTTATCCGTCTGTGTCAAGGGACAAACAGAAATGTATACATGGACGTGAGCTAATTAGATCTCACGAAAATGTCTCCGATTTCCGTTCCTGCTTTTCGTTGTAATTGTTACTAGGATTTTTTTTTCCGTACCGTTTTCGTTTTCCTTAAAACCATCACCTGCACATCAGTATTTTCACTGTTATTGTTATATCCTTTATCTCCATTGCTGTTGTTTCTGTTATTGCTTTGTCCCTCGTTTACTGGATTGAAGAAACTCCCGTTTTCCCTTCATAACAATAAACCGCGGTTGCAGGAATGCGGTTGTTAAACACGAAATTCGTAAACAAGAGAAAAGGGGAAAGATCCTACTCATAAATAAGATACGGTCTGATAATTATTAAGCAGCTGCAATTACCGGTTTGATTAAGGAACACCTATGGCATTCCCTTGTGGTGGTGGTGGTCGTCTTAAAGATATCTTTTTGTACGTGTATGGATACGAGTAGATTTTTGTGGGTTTGGGGTTGACCTACCATGATTATTAATGGTAATATTTTCGTGTCCTGATTGTTACCGTCATCATTGCCGTCAGTATTTCCGATGGTAGTAAAGGAAAGCTATTAGGCAATGTCATTATCAGCAAAGCTATTAAGCCATATCAATATCAGGTTCTGATATTGATAATGGTTTATGTTGTGGTTGTTGCTGCCACTTTTTTTGTTTTTCTTTTATATATATATATTTTTACTATAGATAATGTTATTGTACAAGTATTTTTTTATTTGTTATTTTTGTTGCTGTTCTCTCTCTCTCTCTCTCTCTCTCTCTCTCTCTCCTCTCTCTCTCTCTCTCTCTCTCTCTCTCTCTCTCTCTCTCTCCTCCCTCCCTCCCTCCCTCCCTCCGCCTCCCTCCCTCGCTTTCCCTCCCTCTCCCCCTCCCCTCCCTCTCCGCCCTTCCCCTCCCCCCCTCCCTCTCCCCCTCCCTCCCTCCCCTCCCTCCCTCTCCTTCTCTCCCCCCCATCCCTCCCCTTCCCTGACTCCTTCTCCTCCCCCCCTTCCCTCTCTCTGCCTCTCTCTGCCTCTCTCTCTCCCTCTCTGCTCAGCCTCTCTCTCTCCTCCTCCTCTCTCTCCTCCTCCTCTCTCTCTCTCTCTCTCTCTCTCTCTCTCTCTTCTCTCTCTCTCTCTCTCCTCTCTCTCTCTCTCTCTCTCTCTCTCTCTCCCCCCCCCTCCTCCCCTCCCTCTCTCTCTCTCTCTCTCTCTCTCTCTCTCTCTCTCTCTCCCCTCCTCCTCCCTCTCTCTCTCTCTCTCTCTCTCTCTCTCTCTCTCTCTCTCTTTCCTCCTCCTCCTCCTCCTCCTCTCTCTCCTCCTCCTCCTCTTCCTCCTCCTCCTCCTCTTCCTCCTCCTCCTCCTCCTCCTCCTCCTCTCTCCTCCTCCTCTCTCTCTCTCCTCCTCCTCTCTCTCTCTCCTCCTCCTCCTCCTCTTCCTCCTCCTCTCTCTCCTCCTCCTCCTCCTCCTCCTCCTCCTCCTCTTCCTCCTCCTTCTCCTCCTCTCTCTCTCTCTCTCTCCTCCTCCTTCTCCCCCTCCTCCTACCTCCTCCTCTTCTCTCTCTCTCTCTCTCTCTCTCTCTCTCTCTCTCTCTCTCTTTTCACCCAGTCTTCTCCTCTCTCTGTCTCTCGCTTGCTTGTTTTTTTTTTCTTTATCTTTATATTTATCTACCTTTCCTCCCTCCCCACTGTTTCATTCACTCTTTCACATCTCTACCTAGCTCCTCATCATTCTTGCTGGTTGTTCTTTTCTGTCTGTTTATCCCTTCTTCGGTTAATGTTCTCTCTCCCTGTCTTCGACCTCCCCCTTCCCTCCTACTTCCGTTTTCTCCTGTCTTCATTCTTCCCCTCCACACCTCTCCTCTTTCTCGCACCTCTTTATTTTATTTCTTTTCATTCGTAGTTAACCACAATGAACTCAATGAATACCCCTCTAATGAGAGATTATCATCGTTATTTTTATTGTCATGTTTTCTTTTCCACGTCGTTTTTCGCCTGTTACATTTGTGCCACTATTTCCTTCGTAGTCTACGTTGTCGATCTCGGGACAAGGGAACCGCACGTGAGCATTTGGGTATCGCGTGATTAGTGGCCGAAGGAGACCCTTTAGCCAGAGAGGACGCCTTGGAAGGTGGTCACGCCTCTCCCCTTTTCCCGATTTCCCTCTTTTCCCTTCTCTCTCTTTTTTTTCTTCCCTTGTCCCTTCTCTCGTCCCTCCATCTTCTTCCCTTGTCCCTTCTCTCGTCCCTCCATCTTCCTTCTTCCCTCTTCTCTCTCGCGTCCCAACCGAGGAGGCGACCGTGGCTATGACGCCGAGACTAAGCTAGTGATACAGGTGCTTGTTTCTAGCAACAGGTTAGAAGGGTCATTTGGGCGGCCTGCCAACATCTAGGAGCTTGGAGAAGGTAGGAGAGAGGGGTACTAGGGGGGGGGTGAGGAGGAGGAGGAGGAGGAGGAGGAGGAGGAGGAGGAGGAGGAGGAAGAGGAGGAGTAGTAGATGGATATGAAAGGGGGAGGGGGAGGGAGAGGGCGTAGGTTCGGTATGGCATGAAGAATGCATGTAATGTCGGGAAGACGTTCTGCAAGGGATTTAGAAGGAAGGGGGAGGGGGTGCGGGATTGAGGGCTTCGAACTATAACCTTTACAGTCGGTGGCGGCCATAACCTTGTTTGAAGATAATCCCCCCAAATCCGGAACTGCCAGACGTGCTCCACGAACTAAACAGAAGGCATATTTTTGGAGAAGGAGGGAAAAAAGAGAGGAGGAGAGGGGTTGGGCTGTTTGCGGGGGAGGGGTGGGGAGGGGGACCTAACGGGAAGGAAACCTCAGGGGGATGGAATATGGAGGGGTAGGGCTGAGGCAAGGCGGGATGGAGAGAGAGAGAGAGAGAGAGAGAGAGAGAGAGAGAGAGAGAGAGAGAGAGAGAGAGAGAGGGAGAGAGGGAGAGAGAGAGAGAAAAGGGGAAGAGCGCAGTCTGATCTGCTGCACAAGTCTGAATGCATGTTTGTTTTAAGTTTTAATCGGTGCTGTAGTTTTGTTGATGTTTTAGGCATTATAATTGTTTATTTTATGAAATTGAAAGTAATATTACCACTTGATATTTCTACATCCAAAAGTTATAATTTATTATATGTATAGTTCTAGTAGTTGCCCTTAGTTTCTGCCATGTTTATCATTTTCGTGAATCAGCTACGACCATCTGCTCCGCCAAGTATCCCCATAACCCGCAAGTGAGTTGCATCTGCCCGAGTGCCACCACGGCGCACCCATCCATTTGCGGAACAAGCGCGCATTTCCCTCGCTACAGGAAAGTAAACTGGACTGGCTGTTTTCCGCATCCAGAATAGCGACGGTGGGAGGCCATTAGAAAAATTCTGCTATCAGTCGCAGGGGTCGGGCGATACTCCACTCAGCCTCCCCTTTGGCAACACGCAGAAGAGGAAGGGGAGCTGCCCCGCGGACCCGGGAAGATACCTCCCCCCCCCCCTTTCTCTCTCTCTCTCTCTCTCTCTTCACTCACACTCACTCCAAGAGTAACGAAGACAGATAGACATTTACGATTACAGGCACACAGAAAGAGATGAACTGAGACGCCTAAATGAGGCAGCCACTTCTTATTTCCTCATCACTCTGGGGCATTGAGACCATAGATTATCTCGAGTGGCTCCAATTTCATCAAGTCGGAGGGTTGAGAGCAGGGATCAGCCCCCCACCCCCGCCCCCCATTTTACCATTTCCAAGAATGAAAAGGAACTGTAGAGAGGTGGACCCCCCCCCCCCTCTCTCTCTCTCTCTCTCTCTCTCTCTCTCTCTCTCTCTCTCTCTCTCTCTCTCTCTCTCTCTCTCTCTCTCTCTCTCTCTCTCTCTCTCTCTCAGAGAGGGAGAGTGATAGAAGAGGAAGAGGGAGATGAAAGAGAAGGGACTGAGGAGGTGGGGCGGCCAGTTCACGCGCGATCCCCGCTGGCCATCACTGGGCTGACAGGGCCGCGTCGGAGGTTGGCCCGGGCGGCCGTCATTGGCTGGCATCCGGACGCATAGCATCTGGCCGGCCTGCTGCCGCTTCGCCAGGGCTTATCTCTCGTCCTGTCCCGCCCGGCGCTCATTTGAATCCGCTCCATCGATTTAGCAGGTGTTGCGGACGGCGAATTGGATTTTTCGGATTTTATTTAGAAGGGTTTGGTGGGGAAAAAAAGTAGACTTTGTTGGTATTGTCAGTTTTTTTTTCCGCACGCGTGGAAAATATGTAGACCTTGTATTTCATAGGGCATTATATAAGTTCAGAATATTAAAATATTCGTTTTACTCTTTGGAAAAGTTTGTGCCGTAAAAGTATAAAAAAATGTATGTGCATATATATATATATATATATATATATATATATATATATATATATATATATATATATATATATATATATATATATATATAAGGACTTTATAAGATAAGTTTAACTCCAAAAGACTGATAAATGGTTAGTTTCTGTACTTTTGCTTACTACTCTGCTGATTAACGGACCCTGGACGACAAATGTTCGCGTTGGGCTTAGTAATCATTTCCCAAGTAATGGGTTGCCTTTTTGCATTTTGCATTTTATCGTAACAAGACGAGCAAATTTGCATTTTGCCTTCCTTATATTACTACCATTATTGGTTATTAACACCATACCACCATTTCCTCTCCCT